TTCCGAATCTGAGAGTGGGAGAAGATCAGACTGTTGACAAATGGTAGGGATAGTTCTATTGATTGAGGTTCAAATCATACTGTTGACACCTCTCTGTGAGTCAGTGGCTCAGTTTAATTATGCCATCCAGTCATCCAGGAGTTTCGGATTCAATTCCTGGCTGATGCACTCCTACAACCCGCCTAGTTTATTAGCCGGTAGTTAGCTCAGTGAGGAATTTAATAATAACTGATGCCTGTTGCACAAGAGGTGGCCCAAATGGTCTAGCGGACAATCCTCTATCGTTTGAAACTATGGGTACTAGGTCCGAGCTTCAGTAGGAACATCATCACTCACTTACTGAGGAATGCAGGTACATCTAGCTGACGAGGTAGTCCCAAATAGGACGAAATGCTCCCCCTGGATTCCATTGCTAGTCATCATCCACCGAATCGCTTCAAAGTTTGGAAAAGTTGAAAAATCATCAGTAGTCAAGTATCCCCAAATGATATTTCGATAGTTAGTATTTCCAGGCTAAACTTTATTTGAACATTTCAAAAATGTTACATGCCATTTAAAAAAAACACAATCAACAATGATCACCAAACAACCCTTTAACATTTCTCTGTTTGTATGTGTGTGTGTTGTGCAAATTGATTTGCATAGAAAGTTCTTGATACATTTATAAAAGGGCATATGTCTACTATTAATTGACTACTACACCTATCAATTATTTCTTTATGTCTTTCTGTAATTCATCGTATGTTTTATAATTATTTGAATAATTGAACACTTGAACATTTGACCTTGACAGTGGTAATACGGTTACTGCTGGCATAGTAATAATTAGGTCACACATTCCAACTGTTTATAAATAAATATTCTGAAATGAAGTAGTTAATTAATTCAACAACAAGGAGGAGGAGTAAAAGTATTTTTCTCCCCTCTTTTCGACATTTCGATTTCTTTATGAATACAAGTTTATTTGTCTTAGGCATTTTAAACATTATTGCTTTTTATGCTAATACTATAGGATTAACAAACTGTAGTCTATTTTGATATGGTTGTGTTCTCTGAGCTGGATAGTTAATTTGCGAAGCTTTCATCATCCTACGAGGTGACATCTTCAGCTCATACTTCAATTTGAAGTGAGCTTTTAGATTTCTCCACGAGTTTATTAATCATCTCTCCTGGTGACCTTGGACGTGACTGGTTGTTTTTGTGTGTTTTCACACTTCGTAGGCTACTTGTATTGGAACTGATTGTTTCTTTGACTTGAACTTTGATCCTTTGTGTGTGAGGTTTCTTTCTTTCTCCATCATATCTAAACTGTAGTCTACTTCAGTAGTTTGACACTCACCTGATCCTGGGCTTGATTCCGGGCCGACATCCTTATAAACCTGACCTAATTGACAGGAAGCCCATATAGGAGAGGAGATTGGGCAATCTCAGCATACAAAACAGTAATAACACCGTTACTGGAACTTCAAAACTTCAAGCCTGGTACCTTGTGTTCCATACGGAATATGAGAAATAATCATGCAGTCAACAGTCCCCTGAAAAATGGATTGACAAAGAAGGGAACCTTAGCTTTTCCAGAGCTAATTATTGACAATTTCTAATTAGATGAGGAATATAAATCCAAATTTTTTATTGACTCAAGTCATTCATATTATTATTTATATTAGAAGAAGCTTATGAACAAGTGGAAAGCTTGACTGTATTAGGATTTATTCCAGTGGGTGTTAACTTACCTGTGATTGGGACTTGAATGATGACAGCTCATCTTAATACAAATTGGACGACTGAAGTGAAGTAATACTAGGTGACTGTTGACTGAATCAGAAGTTAACTGATGGATGGTGACTAGCAGTGGAATCCAGCATGCACATTTCGTCCTATTTGGGACTCGTCATCTGGATGTACCTGCACTCCGCACTGAGTGATGATGTTTCTACCATCCAGATGACGAGTCCCAAAACAGGACGAAATGCGCATCCAGGATTCCACTGCTAGTCACCATCCACCAGTTGACTTTTAATTGCTTGCCCAGACATTGTCAAAGAATCTGCACAGAAAGCCGACAGTTCAACCTGAGACTGAGCACTTCGGTCCAATCAATCGATGGGAAAATCTAAAATTGAATTAAATAAATAGTTGACTGAATCAGTTCAAATAATTCTATAAACAATGACTTGATATATTCAAGGATAGATATTTGAAGGACTTCATATTGAAATTGTCACTGAAGATATTTTCTATGTGGATAATGAAAGCTCCTGAGGCCTTCTCATTCATGCTAGTTTGGCACTAGTAATTGACACGACGCCAAGTAAAATTCTGAGTCCCATCATCCTGGAGAGAATAAAGGATGCACTGGATACAGAATTGTGACTAGAATAAGCTGGATTCAGGAAAGGCAAATCATTTTCTGATCAAATTGCAACTCTACGCATCATCATCGAACAAAGTATGGAATGGCAATCAAACCTCTACCTCAACTTTATAGACTTTGAGAAGGCCTTCGACAGCGTTGACCGCGAAGTAATCTGGAAACTACTCAAGTACTACGGCGTACCCCAAATATTCATCAATCTTATTCAACAGCTGTACGACAACGGCACATGTCAAGTGATCCACAACGGAAAACTAAGCGAGGCGTTTGGAGTAAACACAGGAGTCAGACAAGGGTGCCTATTATCACCAATGATATTCCTAATTGTGGTGGTCTGGATTATGCGTCAGACAGTGGGAAACGAGAAGACAGGGATATAATGGACCGACGTGAAGAACCTAGAAGACCTGGATTTTGCGGATGATTTATGTTTGATGTCACACAAAATAGTGTTCTTAGAGCCTTTTAGACAGGATACGCGTCAAACTACCAATGTCCCAGGCTCCACAGAGACAGGTGAACTGATATGTGTACATATACACAAATATCCTACTTTGTATATACTTAATATTATTCCCTTCAGTTCCGAGGGAAACGTCTGGCTTTAACAGTACGTCTTCATTTCACACATTTATGTGGAGTCTCACTTAACAGCTCCATGACTGCCTATAGGCTCTCATCTCTTCCATGTCACCACCAGATAACCAACTCGTTGCTTCCTACTTACTTTCCACTCGACGGCCTGCTTCGCGCATGATTTTATTCAACTGTCTCTTCAGCATGTATTCGACCTATTTCCACTTACTTCTTCATATTCGTTGGACAGCAAGTTCTTGGTTCGTTAATTCCCAGAGTTTCCTGCCGCTGAATATTTCTGACCATCCAATCTTCAATATGGAGATAGTGAAGTCAGCCGCTGATAAAGGATGGAAGCGTATGGAAATGGTTTTGGTGACACATTAAGCATCTGGACCACACAGAAACACTGAATCGCTTGACATCAATGTTGAAAATCCGAATCTTGGTTTTTAACCATGGTGCAACACATTTCTACACTGCTTTCAGATTAATGGAGGTCTGTCTCGCTAATCCCACCCTGTCTCTGACATACTCATCCATGTCACCGCCTGTATTCGAAATGATGCTAGCTGGATAAATAGAGGAAGTGAATTCCTTCAATCCTCCGTTAAACAGACTTAAAATTGGATTTTGTCTTAATACAGATTCAGATTAATACCAATTATTGTAGTTGATATTTCATTCATATCAATATCAAGAAATTATTCAGTTTTTAGAAGGCTACACGCTAAGGTACAAATTTGAAATTGAATCTCATCATATTGAATAGTATGAAAAATAAAATGATTTGATGGCATATTGTCACTTCCCATTGCTATCTTCCGTACAATGGATAGCTGGAATTCCTTTCCAAATGAAAGTCGAAGCTAGTATCCCGGTTATATCTCCCCTAATTTTGTCTAATTTCCGCCTAAAATTGGATTATAGCCTCAAAGTTACTGTGATTTTTATAGTTTTCGATTACTAATGATATTTTTTGTACTTTCCACGCACTCTCTCTGATGGCTTAACTGCCATTAGCTGACAACAGTTTAAACTCATCATTGTCATTTGAAACGTGTACATTTGACAGTCCTGTTAAGTGTTTTGAGTGATGTCTGAACAGTGAAATCTGTCTTGTTGACTGTCCATCTTCTCTCTTACTTTCAAGTGTTGTTACGGTGATTGTTGACGCTGTGATTAGTAATTAAAGTGATTTTCATCATCTCATTGGATTGGTATCGGTCAGAGCTTGCTAAGTCGTATCACAATTCATATCAATTTCGTCTACGGAGTCTGTTGAGTCCTGTCTGTTAAGTGTGAAATATAGTCAGTGAGCAAAGTCAGACACGTCTTCTGTGCACTTGGATGTCCTGTACTTTGTTATTAGATTCTGAATACAACTCGATAAAGAGCTTCGGAGCCAGGCTTTTATTTGATTAAAAATCTTGACAAACAGGTGCAACTTTGTCCTCGAAGAATGCAGAATTTCCTCAGTGATTCTAAATCGTGTCACTTAGGGTTGAGGTGACAGTAATTACTAACAACCTTTGACATTTATACCGGACTTCACTTTTTTTAACAGCTACAATCTTAAAAACAATACGCTTCTAAGTCAAACACTCTAAAGTGATATTTTACATTAAACCAAATCCTTTAGGTTGTTACGTTTGTCCAATTAGGTTAGTAGCCCAATCATAAATTTAACCCCCTATCATATCTAAAACTGAACTTCTCTAGTTTCTTATTGCTTTTCATTATAGATCGCCTAGTGAATAATGTATTCCTTCACTTAAGGTTTTTACAAACATGTTGACCTTTGTGAAAAACTGAGTGCCAATGGGTGTGCACGATGACGATGACAATGAAATGATCGTGTATGTATTTAATGAGTCATAAATGTAGACACCCTTACTCATCATTTATAGAATAGTCAAATGTCTGAATTTCATAACCCCTAGTTATTTAAACTTCAGTTTTTGTCTACTTAATAATAAATAAGTAGTATAAAGTTTTATCTGAAACTTTCTGAAAATACAATTTATACAATTTATTTATCGCTTTCTAGGTATTAGGACCAATCCACTTACTGGTGAAAATCTCAAAACATTCACTGTAATGGCAGAGGAAAGATGTTCAGGCAGAGAAAATGGTGTATCCAAACGGAATGGTAGGTATTTTAAGTATTTCATATTAATAGTAATTAAATATCCACTTATGTATTCGAAAATCGGGTAACATGTCTGGATCCCTATAGCTTATATAAAATTGTAGAATTCGAGGCTGAGACTCAGGAGTTCCACGTTGAATATTAAATGCAGATATTTGCTATCTCATGAATATTACATTAGTTCAGGATATGCTCTAAGTGATCTGTTATTTCTGTTTATTGTCGATATCATCTGGTATCGTAATGTACACTTGTCTCTCTGATGTATAACTGAAATACAGACAGCATAACCAACATAACTGTACGCAGTTTTCATGTACGGAAAATATTCAGTTGATGAAACGACATCTTATGGTGCTTATAAGAATCATATTCAGTTTATACTGTGACAACCCAAACGAGGTTCTGTGATGTAAACGCAGGAAAGCGATCTCTGGGTTCTACTGTATAGCTGACCAAAACTTTCCTGAGTTACTCATAGTCACAAAACGCCGAACTACAACAAAAATAAAGTTATCTGCAATAAATTCTGCGGTACTATTTAACGACAGTAACATCAAGAACTCAAAATTTCCTCAACAATGTTGTTAAGCAACCACACAGGTCAGTTAACTTCCCAGTACATAACAAGTACTATAGGACAAAATTAGTTAACTTTAAATCAGCTCTAAGAAGTATCTGAGAACCAAGTAGAATATCCTCAACGAAGTGAGATCGAAACACTCTGGGCATGAGTCTAGCATCAAACACTTCTAGCATACAATCAAAAGTCAGAATGATCTTGACTTACTCAAACAAAATTACAATATCACACAACCGAAGCAAAAGCAATAAAACTATAGATTAAACAGCAACAAATACGAATAAAATGAATTACGTCAACAGGTGATTTGAAGACTTCAGGACAATGATATATGGCCTAGGAGAAAATCGGATAATAATGACAAAATTAGTTGAAACCTCCAAATGAGTATCATTGTTGTAATTAGATCGTTCACAGGGAGGGATTTTCCAAACAATTATTATGTTATAAATACAATAACCTGCTGTGTTACAGGATCAGTTTCGAATATACTGTCGTCTCGACTATCTTAATAAATTTAAGCGTGAATTAAACGTGTGACGCACTGAAATTAAGAGAAAAATAGTGTACTACTTGTTAGTAGCATATCTATATAACAATAAAAATATGCCCAGGTATAATTTGTCTGCTGAGTCTGAATCACTACTAAAATTATTTGGAATGATCCCAGTGTGTTTAGAAAAAACACGCTCCACCGTGCAAGCCACAGCTTCTCTCACATGGAATGACTTTAAATAATTTTAGAGACAACGGGTCGAAAGTACTTTAAACACGATTGTGTTTGTATTCCCATTAGATTCTGGTGGGATCCCAAAACTTTCAAAACTTTCAGCAAAGGAAATGTAGGTCTTAGTAGATTTAAACGAAAGCCTCTGGTTGGTGAACGGTTAAATTAAACCAGTTGCTAAGGGTTTATTATAAATTCTGTCTTACATAAAAGAAGTGCAGTGACATGGTGATTATGAACCTGGAGTTTCTCTTAATGCATGAATTTAGGCGCTTATGAATTAATGATTTTCGTCTACACTTCCTTTTGATGTTCCACCAAAATCAGTCTCATACAGCTAAGATGCCAACAGAAAAGTAACCGGAAAGGCGAGATTCATTTTAATGTATAACTGGAATTTAAAATTTCACTAGAAAATTGATTTTTGCTCATCCTGATTGATAGACATGTTGGTTTTTTATTATCTTGAAAAGTTTCAACAAAAAATATATTCACTGGAGAAAACTGTGAGAACTATACTGTATCACCAGAATTGAAGTCGCCAACAAAGCGCATTCAACGAGGTAGGTTGTGATATATTTTCTATATTTTAAAGTATACTACTTGTGAGTAGCTCAACGTTTTGTAACAAATTTCCTCTTTTCTGAAAAACGACCACAAGTGACGACTCAGAGAAGAAATAGTTCTTTATGATAATTTTATTGTTGAACTGTGTAGCGTCATTTAAATTTTGACAGACAATAAAAGAAGTAATTTTTCTAAAATTGTGTAATGTGTTCGCCTTATACGTCTCGAAAAACCTGATTACTCACGAGGTTGTCATAAGAGTTTATATGAAAATAATTAAGTGTTTGGCGGTGATAGAATAAACACAGGTCAAGCTAAAGGGGTAAAATTAACATTGGAGACCAATAGCACAAGGAAGATAGATAACAGGACGTCTATTTTGTGATCATAAAAATTTTATTTACGAAATTGGTACACTTTGGCTGATGTATATTTCAGCATTATGTGAAGATCACCTAAGGCAAATGTTTACCTCTCTGCATACCTATAATTCTTGATTCTCTTGTGGAGCTGACTACACTGGACTCTGTTATGGGATTCTCTAGTCATTCGTTGCACAACATTTACCGGCTTTACTAACAAAAAATGAACATAGAGCAACAATTTAATCAATTGAGTATGTTTTATAGGCTTAAGTTATTCAACAAATTGTGATTTACCTTTCGAAGTAGTCTGAAGCGCTGAATTTTTTCGAATATTCAAAAGTATGTGTTTCCTTTGGTTATATATACTCTAAGTTGTAGTCATATATGGAGAGAAATCGAAACTGTTTATTGTGAAATCATATTAAAATCCCTGTTTTCATTACTATAACCTTAATGTTGTTCCTTCTAGTTAATTTCATTGTACTTCCGTTAGTACTTGACCCACTTTAACCCTCTTGAAATCTATTTCTTTTTGTACCCTGCTGCCTTCCTGTATGTCATTAATTCAACTTACCATCTCCTGCTGTTTTTCTACATATATATATCCAAATTGATTAGTAGTCAAACAAACGATGCAGATATTAACCGTGTCTTATAAAATGCGTGATAAGTGGAGACTGTTTTTTTCTCTCTGTAGTAGCATACTTCATTATGTTTTTTGACTCCTCATTTGGAATTAGGTTTTCATATCCAAACGACATACAGTATTTTAAAAATCTCCATTGAGTCATATGAAAGAAAAGAAGTTCAGAGGAGAGTTAATCTTTTCGGCGATATCATTCTCAAACTGTTCAACTGCACTTATGTAGTAAATTATCTGCAATATCCGTCCTGTAGCAAGTCACTAGCAAGCTTCAGATTGATTTTCAAAAGTTGGTTTGTAAGGATTAGATTTGTGAGTCATGTGTGAGGAGGGATGTTCCACCAATGACATCAGTTGGTGGTCGCGCTAAATGACGAATTGATAGGAGTTTGAATTCATGGGCCATTGAATCGGCTCCCAGTGGCTCAATGGTATACGAGCTTGCTTTGTAACCGGAAGGTCGTGGGTTCGAACCACGGCTATAAGGTGCGTACTGCCAATGATTCTCAAACTAGGATGAAACACTTGTCTAGTACTCTCTGATAGTTTTCAGTGGTTCTCTAACTGATATCAATCCGTGATCAACTCGTAAACACAAATCTAATCTTTACAAACCAACTATTGGAAATAACTGGCCCTTTTATCCTTTCATATTTATAATTTTTCGTGACGGTATTTTAAATATCTCATAATTTCACCTATTAGCATTATTGTCATCATCATTTTACACCTTTTGCACGCTTTTGACTTTACTGTCACTGTTAATACCCAAAAGCTGCTATTGTGAAGTTTAGTTACCTATACCTTGTAGTTTACATTTTTTGGTTTTAGCTGTTGTTGAGTAAATTAGATGCAATATTTTACCAAGTGCTTAGAATTTCAATCTGTATTATAAGTATTGTTTCGGAATAAAGCGAATCATTGTTACTATCATTAGTAGTAGCAGCAGTAAATTTACTGATTACAGGAAGTCTCCAACTTGTTCAAAGTTCTTTGGAAGAGTCAGGTGTAGCGGCTGAAACCAATACTTGTTTTCATAATGTCAGTAACGAACACAAGGTTAAATGAGTGTAAATGCACTCTGTTTGAAACTTTTTGTGTGAGTGTGCGTGCGTTGATGACACCGTCCAGTCATATACGGGTAAAGAAAGTGGAAAGGAATTCGAACTGAGGAGTCATTGGCTGGAAGTCGAATGATGAAGCCGATGGGTCATACTTAACACTATAAGCTATGACTATACGGTGATGAAGTATTTCTTAACCAAGGAAAAGGTGATTAGATTATCTGTGAATACTCTGATGAAAAGGCAATTCTAAGTTATGATAGGATTTCAGCCAGTGAAGATCACCTGAACGCCCATTGAGTTATGAAGAAAATAGAAAAAGAACATTTAAAAGAAAAAGCGTTCAGTAAAGAGTCACTCTTTTCGGCGATATCATTCTCAAACTGTACAATTTCACAAATGTAGTAAATTATCTTGGCAACAAAAAGGAATATTTCCAAAGATATGTCATTAGGATTGTAAATTTTAGATAACAAGTTACGCAATGTAAATAGCGTTAATCAAGTAGAAATAAAAGTAGACTGAGTGACGTAATATTATTGACGCCATTGAGTAGAACTCATCTACAATTGGACGAGAGTCAGGTTAACAACACTGATAATAAGGGGTAGAAATTTAATACGTAGAGGGGAAAAAACAATACAGTTAAGTAATGAAAAACAAGAATTATGTATCTGACGTTAAGATAGATGAGGTCCACTGTAGATTTAGTGACTGGACAAACTTCCTCTGTATGCAGAGTTTAAAATTTAATATCTGAATTGCCATTGCGTCTGGGGTTTGAAGAAGTTTGATTCATCGTACTCTTTTAGCGAGATTCCCACGTATTCTGTGCATAACTTTGAAGTCCTTTTGTGGGTTAGCTTGGTGCCCGGATTCGATCAGGTGTTCCAGGATAGAGCTACTGGCGGGGGATCTATTTTCTCCTTTATAAAACCACGAAGGTAAATGTTCGATGATACGTTTGGATAGCAAGCGTTGAGAACGGCCGACATACCTAGCTTCACACGAGCTGGTGAATTGATAAATATACACTGATGAAGCCAGCAGTGATAAATTATCCTTCACTTTCATGATAATCATCGGTTCTGCTCAGAAAGTTGGTCAAAGTTCAGCCGCCAACGAGGTTTTCTTCAGTGAAGAGTCTCTTTTCGGAAAATTTGTCCACTCACCTGTACAATCACAAGTAGATGTGTAATTATTTTTCTGTATATCTGTGTGTGTACATCAGGTTTGTCACACAAGAATAAAATTTAGTTGGCGTTACTGTTGACGTCATCAAAATATTTCAAAATAAATATGATGAAGAATAAAATTGTAAGTAAAGTGGGTTGACGATTTGTAAGAGGATACTAGTGATGAGTTTTCAATACATGAAAGATGTTGAATAATTGTATTATAGTTACGTAATGACACGAATAGTGCATCGGCGGCACAGAGGTAGAATGCTCACCGACCACTCATGTGGTTCGGGGTTCGATCCCCGGCTGGCACACTCCTTTACTTTATTACGCTGGTAATAAGACTGGTAAAGAGGGAAGGTTGGGCATGAGGCTAGCAACCTCATCCCGTAAAAATAAATACCACCGCTGTCGAAACTTTAAGCCTCTATCTTGAAGCCCTATGTTCCACTGGGACGGTGAAGGAATCAAAAGAATAAAATGAATAATACAGTGATTGACTTGTGACTAGGGTGCATATAGAAACGAAGGAAAATATGCAATTATCCTACAGAATGAAAAGAGATATACGGAATTATGAAAACAAACAAACAAAATTCAAGTCAGAAGAAAACAAACAGACTGTTACCATGACAACAGGAGTAGTTAAATAGTTTCCCTTTGTATGTGTAGCTGTGGTTTCTCTTACTAAATGGTTAAAGCTTTACCGATGCATAAGAGATGAAAGAGTACTGACTTTGGTAGGTTGTTCTTCACTTTGCAGATCGCTTTAAGGAGGCATTTGTAAAAATGGAATGACCATTGTTGACGAGATATTCAATTATCGTACTCCTTACACAGCCACTATTACCTTTTTGTAGCCATTTGAGATAGTGTTCTTGAACCCTTTTAGACGGGTTACGCGTCAAACGACCAATATACCTGACTCTACAGCAACAGGTGAACTAACATAAGCACATATACACACCAGTTACTGTGGTATCAGGCACATTGGTTACTAGAATTCTGGCCTTTAGAACTCTTGCATATTTTCCTTCTTTTCTATGTGCATCCTAGTCACAAATCGATCACTGTATTATTCGTGTTATTACGTAACTATAATACAATTATTCAACATCTTTCATGCATTGACAACTCATCACTACTACCCTCTTACATATCTTCAACCCACTTTACTTACAATTTGATTATCCTTCTTATTTATTTTGAAATATTTTGATGACGTAAACAATAACACCAACTAAATTTTATTCTTGTGTGACAAACCTTATGTACAATTACGCAGATGTATAGTAAATAGTTACATAAATAGTTGTGATTGTACAGGTGAGTGAATGAATTTGTCGAAAAAAGACTCTTCACTGAACTCTGTGTATTTCGTTTTCATTAAAGAACAATTGGATCTACTGATTTCGCTTTTAAGATTTCTCTCAAAATAATGTAGTATTTCTGAAGTTGTGTGTGGGGTGGCAGAGAGAGAAAAGGTTGGAGTGAGTGGGTCATAAAACTTGGAATTTGGAAGGCAATATGCTATTCATCTATTTCTAGTGTAATTTTACCACAACTTACCTCAGAAACTGGATTAGTCGAAACCAAATTCAAATTCAGGCTGGCTAGTTGCATGATTACATAGTTGTTGATGAAAATCTACTAGAGCTTTTTCTCTTCAGAAACCCAAAGTATACATGTGACAAAAAATGATCTTCTTGATATCATAAGTTGTAACGAAGAAAGCAAGAGAAATATGGCAGTAGCATATGTTACCGATTGACATGAGTACTAGCTAGGTGAAGTTTAAGTAAATAGAATATCTTTCATCTCCACATCAGTTTTCTTCGAATCTCTGCTGGTGGTCTCACATGTTGTTGATTTCTAAGGACCTCTTTCGGTTGGCTTATTACATAAAGAATTTGAAACTTCCTGGCATCATAACTCAACCTCTTCTCTCTTACAATTTATTAATTCATGTATTCTGCTCATTCTTGTTTATTGTTCGCCCTTATTCCTCCCTGGACTTCTCAAAAAAGGCTACATCATATTACGTAGAAAATGAATTCACCGAAAAGAGACTGTTGGTTGAAATACGTATTTTGTTTTCACTAATATTAGGTAGAACACTGAAGGCTGTAAGTAGGATTAGTGGTGTACCTTTGACTCAGTTAACTGACCCTGTTGTTGATAGGCATTTCAATTCTTTCAAGCAGTTAGCTAAAGTTATCTTGTCGCGTATACAGAGCATCCTTTAAATTCGCGACTTTTCCTTGTATATTTCAGCAAGTTTACCAGGAGTTAGGTTCGAGCATCAGTAGGAATACTGTGTATCACTCACTGGGTGGGCAGGTAGTTCCAGTTGGTGAGTTCCAAGTAGGATGAAACCCGCTTCCCAGAATTCACTTTTAGGCAACATCAACCAAATAAAGTCGTATTAATCGTGAGACATCGTTAGAGAGTTTGTACTCTAAGCCGTCAAGTTGATAGAGATCAAGCTTTCCAGTTCAATAGAAATTATCCAGTGAGAAGTACTTAATAACGTCAACAAGCTAGTCTCCTCAGCTTGAAGGCTTTTTATTTCTAATAATTACGAATACTGCAAGGCCTAATACCCTGATCTATTGAAAACAGGTAGTAAAATGTTCCACCAGTCCTTGTAGAACCATCCTACGCACGAATCTTCTTCATCAATTCAAAACCTACACTTTAATGAACAGGTGCATGCTGAAAACTTATACAAGCTGGTAAAAGAATAATTCAAAAGAAAGTAGAATGAGAAGGTTGAGAGACAGTTAACCACTGTTCATGCAAATAAATTATCGTCCCAGAAAAAATATTTATGCTTAGCCGGATAAAGCGAATTTATTGAACTATAAACTCCCGCTTGGAGTAGTTAATGGTGTCTATAAAAAAGCATAGGGAATAATCAGTAGACAAATCTCTTCACAGCCAACTTAACAGATACCAGAAATATCTATGATTTCTCATTTAAATTTCAAGAAATTCCTCATCCGGAAACCATATGCTTCTTGTCAAGTAATTTCAAACTAACTGGTTCACTGGTATTTACACTAGGACTCCAGTTCTGGTTATTTAATCTCCTGTACGTAGCGAAGGAAGCTAATAATGAAGGTCTGTAGCCTGTTGGAAGTGCTTTTCGTAAGGCTCCAAGTCTCTTAATCATATAGAATAATTGACTTGATGTTGGTGTTGAAGACCCGGATCTTGCTCCGTATTCTGAATGCGGTAGACTCCCACAATAATTTCAAAGTTATGAAGGTTTATCTTGCTTTTCCGATTTTGCCTTGCCTTCACATCCATACCCGTGCCGTCTGCAGTTGAAACGTCACCGCCTAGATAAATGAAGAAGACGAATTCCTTTAGATATCCCCTGTTGATTGTGAGTGCTGCTTCTTGTTGTTGGTTAGGTATATTTATCACCTCTTGTAAGCGCAATATCGCTTGCATGCATGCAGCTCGGCCATTTCAACATCATGTCTAGCCTTTAGCTACTTTTCCTCTAACTCTAACACCTGTAGAAGCTGTTTCTCTTTTAGCTGCGCCCTTAGTAGCAACGAATTAGCACTAGTTGCTTGCGATAATGATGGTTTCGAACTACTGACATGAGAGCTGGGGCACGAAAGATTATCAACATGATCATTTATACAAACTGGGACTTGCCCACTCTCCGACTGCTGCTCCGAAATTTGCTTCCCTGATCTGGTTTGCATTGTTCCAAATAAAATGTATTTTTAGCAACGTTGCGTGCTGCCGATTCACCACAGTTTCTTCTGGATGAACGTTCAGCACTGACCAGTCCAGTACGGTCGCTTCCGTCAAGGGCTGATCCGGGAAACTTTAACTCTATACGTTAAGTACTTTAAGCGCAATATCGCTTGAAATTAAGTCACGCGTAGATAAAGGCTATCCCGGTCCAGAACAAACAAGAAGCCGGTCACTGTTTCTACGGTACTATTAATAAACAAATCAATAATTATATATACAACAAACGTTAACGGTTTCAAGAGTACAAAGCACAACGCTTAACAGAAAGCAAGGTACTGCTATCAGAGCGGAATAACGTTAAAGCCAAAATTGCGAACTAGCCGGAATCAGACACGACCGTTCAGGTAAGCAGTCAGTAGAAGAATGAACCCAAGTAAGAGATAAACAGAGCATAGGCACAAAGATAGAATTTAATTGGCTACATAACCAATCAATAAATAAGATAAACTCGACAGAATAGTACAAAGTAAGACATGGGTCAGCAAAAATAACAGTTCACAAAATACTCTGATTGGGTCATGAGTTCAACGGTCTGACTAAACGGATCGAAGTAAAAACACACACAATTCATTAAACAAGGGGTATAGACACTTTAGGCAGGGATAATTGATCCGGGACAGGTTGACTTGATTCAAGGACGGCAATTGAATTGATCTTACACCTCTGTCTCCTTTACAATCACTTGAAGTTAAGCTCCCGCTGCTTCTTCCGTCGTCTTCTTGGCTTACACACGTAGATCCTCGATTTTGTGCGATGTCAGACATTAATCGTGCGTGAAGTCCAGATCTTCAATAGCCTTTTCCCCTATCTAACGCATGCTAATCTCCTAGTTTCCCACAATCTGTTGCGTAATTCCTTTCACTAGGATCAGAAGCATCATAGACAGCCAGCCGTTTCTTTCTTCTATCTTCACCTATAGAGCTTCACTGAGCTATCCTTTGTGGACCTATTCATATGCGCCATAATAATATAGGTAACTGTTGAATGAGGTTGATAGAGGTTTGGGGCATTGCGTTGTGTTGAAACTGAATTCAGATTATACTAAGTCATTACCATTTTGATGTTTTCTGTTATATAAACTTTCGTATTTACCAACTGGGAACTACATTTTAAACTTTTATTTTAATTGATTTTTTCTCTTCATTGTTATACCTTCGCCTACAGAGCCTAAAAGGAATGCTATAACTGGTGAAAACTGTTCAACTTATGATTATAATTCAGAGGTAAGAGTATCGAAAAAGCGTACACCGGTTAAACCATCTAATCCACTGAATGGTGAAAATGTCAGCGCTTTTATGGTATCTCAGGAAGAAAGACCACGTACACCTAAGCCATATGGTAAGATATAACCACATTTGTATTTATGAGTAGTGTTTCCCTCCCACAAAAAGTTAAAAGTTGATAACCCACCTGACTTTTAGATTTCTAACAAACAGGGAAGGATTAGTAGATTCCAGTCTCTTTTCCACGCCTCTCTGTTTCTTCATTTATCTCGAGTATGCTTTGTCTTATATTGTGCGTTGGTGGCACAGCATTTAGGACTCTCGCCGACCATGCACATGGTCCGGGGTTCGATCCCCTGCCAACGCACACCTGATATCCATGGTCGGCCTGTAAAATTTCGGCTACTGATATCACATGCTGAAAATTCCATACTCGTACCAAAAATACGGTGTGGAATCAAGCTATAATCAAATTAGCTAAGAGTGAAATACTGAACTAAACGCAACACTTTTAGTGTTTTTACATCCTGTAAGATGGGTGGTTTAATTGTTAAGCCTTTCAACTCTCTTTCTAGATAACATGTCTACTGACAACTTTCAGATAAATTGACTTTTGAAAATTCTTCGTGCGACCTTCACTTTGTAGTGATTTACCAAATCTCACTTCACTCTGAAGTTAATGGTGAGTACGCTGACCAGAAGGACAATGAAAGCCGTGAAATTAAACCATCCACCAACTCAGGGAACACAACAGCATCAAAAAATCCATTTGAGCTGCAAGCCTTCTTCATTATTTCTCACTGCAAGTGAACATAAGACTTAAAGCTTCGAGCTTCTGGTGACGGTGAAGTCTTCTTAACAGGGTGGAGTTGCCAGCCTCACTTCCAAGCTTCTGTCTATACAGGACCTACCATTAATTAAGTAAGGTATAGGTGTGCGTTAGCCAGAAATTCATCCCAGACCGCATGGATGAAAAGAACATCAGACTGCTGGTTGAAAGGCAATTTTTATTCGCAAAACAGTATTTAATGCAGCTTAACTTTAATTAGAGCTTCTCTGAGTGTAAGAAATCGGCTTGTTCACGACAGGTAAGCTTCTTGTCAATGAAACGCTAAAAATCGACGACAGTCATTCAAAAACACCAAAGTCTCGGAAAATTCCTCTTGTTTTCACTAAATTTAGAGAAACTGATAATATATAGTTATCACTTTGCTTTTGAATCTACAAACTAATGACTTAAGCTATAAGATAGTATGACAGCCAACAGCGTCTCCTGTTTCAGTCCCAGTGTTGTAATTCTATATAACCAAACATATAAATTGCAGTTAATAGATCAGTGTACACCTAAAGCTTTCCCAAAGCTATTTTGTTTCACATTGTACAATTGCTAACACCTAAAATAGGATTTATAAGCCTCTAGTGCATCTGCTTTCTGCTCACTATTCCTCTTCAAAATACTTGGACCGACGCAGGTATATGAATTCCTTGAACGGCTGTCATGATATTACCAAGACTAATAACTCGAGGCTACTTGTTCGAAAGTGGCTAAAAGTGAAATGTATGATGTGCACTTCATCCTACTTGAAAATCGCTAACCAGTTGCTCCTGTACCCTCAAAAAATGACTGTATTTTTACTGAGACTTTGACCCACTACCGTACACTTCAAAATTCAAGGCGTTATCCACTAGTCCGTGAGGTAAACAGAGCCATATCTTGTGGTATGAATACAGTTTAAAGAATGACAGACATAAAGGAAATCTTCTGTTGTTAAGATGTCACATAAATATACATTCAAATAATTAGTTTCCCATCATATGAAGCGTATTGATTACTTATCATTAATAAACTCAGCTTTCAGTGATGTAGGTCTTTTCCCTCATTGTCATGAATAAGCCCTATTTACCACTGCAAACAAACATTTAACACGGCCTCATAGCGGTTACTGGGTTTTTAACGCCTAACTGTGGCATCTTACCGATTAGTTTATTGGATTCATTGAACGGTAGACTTAAAACCGCATAGCTATACCAGTTCTCACTGAGAAAAGGATTCAATTAAGAGCTATTTTATCAATCAATTGATTAAACTTACCATGAAATCTGATATCCATATATTCGATGTCGAATAACTGAACCATCTTAGTATAAAAAAGCTTCTAAAGTCTGAGATCAGGTTTTCTTCTATGACTACATGATGCAACTCTCGCTTCAATCTCACTGAATACACCAGCACCTCTGTGAATGATTGTTCACCCGCTGAGACTTTAACCACGAAGCCATCATTTTAGACTCAAAAGTTTCACTCAACAGACTGCTTAGGCAAAAGACCTATTTCTGAGTACACAAACATCTTAATAAACTATTATTACTATCATCATTGTTATTCAACCCTGCTGCCGTTTAGTTATTATTATAGTCACGTCAGTCATATCTGTAGGCATTTTCCTTGTTCTCGTTTCCTTTGTTTTTCCCATCTCTCTATTTTTCAATATTTTATAGTATACAAGAACACAGTGACTGGTGAAAATCTTCAGAGTTATAAAATCACACCGATTGAAAGAAATGTTACTCCGAGAGTGGTCAAAGGTAAGCAGAAATCAATCTTATTAATATAAATATAAAACGTGAGCACTGTGGTAGAGTATAACTCCATTATAGATAAGATTTTATTTTGACAAATCACACATGCTCATATGATTATGAGCAATAGTTTGTGCTCAAAACGCCGTCACTTAATAATACTGTAGAACACTGTGTGATTTATCTATATAAAATCCTATCCATAATGGAGTAATCAGTCTGTTTAAATAATTTTGTGTCAGTAAATGAAATATCCCCATATTGAAATCAAAACAAGATTTTGAGCGAACAATTGTTTTCGATAACTTCTTCTTAAAGCTCTACAGTTATAAATCCATGAATAATAGAGTACATATAGCCAATAAAGGCAAATGAAAATAATATCAGAAACTGTATTGGGGTGCATGTGTAAGCTGAGATGATAGTCCATTAGTTAACATAGTCAATCAAATTTGTATAGGGTGTATAGTCAGACAAAATGTGATGAAGTGTGAATGAACAATTGGGTGATATAGTGCTGTTTTATAGTCAACAGAATACAAGTGTCATTGGGGTGAGAGAAATGCGATAACCACAAAATACATGCAAATACACATTAACAAGGGGGACACTGAATGTGAGGGCTGACCGATAATGTCTAATGATAAAAAAGAGGCTAAATTGTAAATTGTAATAAGATGTTACAGAGTTGGTAGGCTTAGTGTGAAATCACAAAGGTTGACAAAATTAAGGGTAACAAAGAGGTGAAATAAACTGGGCAGAGAAATGGATAATAAAGACATGATATCACAAAATGATAATAATGGTAATAATAATACGGAAAATTATGATCCTGGTGACCTCATAGTGGGACAGCGTAGACAGAGAGAGTGAATAAGCTTTTTCTGTACACATAAATCTGGTCTTTTTCTATTAATCTCTAAAGCCTCAGCTATGGCTAGGAGGCGTAATCGTGTGCCCTTGGGGAGATTGTTTGGTACTCGATACACAACTGTAAATGACTCCTCTACTTTTGTGTCAAATCACGGAATGACTACCTGAAAATCATGTGCATTTTTCATTATTGAAAGACTGAGATTCTTAATTGATTGGAATACCGATTTCAGTCAAAACAAGAGTGCATAGTTCACAGTTGGATGTCAACTAAAGACTTCAAGACAGCAGGTTCAATACTTTAAATAACTGAGCTATATGACATTGCAAAAGAAATCAGCTTATCGAACGGAGGTTATATGAGAATAGTGGGATTATTGATCATCACTTAAGATCGCAAAGAAATCATTGATACCAATAAAAAGATATAATTAGGCAAAATGTATTCACATATGACAAGTAACTGATCAAAGACCTTAGTGTGAAATATGTTGACCGAACGACACCATATTCATCGTAGTTTCACTGCCTTCATTTGAAGACTTATAGTTTAGCTCCTGCCTTTTTGATCTGATGGTCTGAGTCTTACCTGAATTGTATGCACATGAATGGAAAGTATTTCTGCGGTATAACTGATCCCCACACAAATCAATATTTACATATGGAAAACAGCCGTGCTGTGGAACGCGAAGTTTATGTTTTCCAACGATTATTAACATCTTCATCCAGTTGAAAATCACTCACATGAACGAATAGAGCTTCCTAACAGAGTCGGAGTGATCTGAACAACAAAAGCCTGTTAGAAGAATTCTATCGTATCCCAGTAATATCATTTCATTGGGATCTCAAACAGTGATAAATTAAAGTGGTGTGACGTCGATTTTCCTAGGAAGCTTAACTGTAAAATTAACGACTCTCCCATCCTACAGAAGGTCATCACGATTCCGTCATGACTATATATCGTTCGCTAATATCATTAAAGAACTGCCTTCAACCTTCTCGTATAGGCCGGAATGATAATAACAGGGAACGTAGAAATGCGGAGAAGCCAGTCATCTGAATAAAATTAGACGGTATCTACTTATTATTATTTAAGTAGTGTGAAATAATTAACAAAATGTACTCCATGACTGACTGATATATATCTATTAAAATGTTTTTTTTTTTCAATCTCTTAACACAGAACGACAAAATCCTTTAAGTGGAGAGAATGTTGAGTCGTACACTTATCGTTTAGGTGAGGGTAAACGAACTGTGAAGAAAAGAGGTAAGACTGTGAATTTTTCTATAAGTTTTGAAAATATTCGTTATACTCGTTTTATATTTACAGCCTTTTGAGCTTTGACTGTGCTTACATAGATAGAACATACTGCTGAAGATGGACTGAGCACATCACCTCAGAATGAAATTGGAATACTGCGAGGCTTTTAAGGAGTGAAGAAAATTTTAAGATATTGATTAAGAAGCAAAACACGTATATCCTTTGCACGTTGACGCTACTTACTAATTATTACTCGTTCCTTGCCTATTGAACGGGAAATCTCGTCTTAGTGGTCATATCTGTATTGCACTCAGTTGTGTGACATCACGCTTACCTGAATTCATGACTGCCTACAATCTTTTATCTTCCCCTGATATTATCTTTTCAGTGTCACTCTGAGAACAGCTCCTCACTCGCCCTTTCCTATTTGGGTTTCACTCTATAGTCTGGCGTGTGGTAAAATTGAGAAGAATTTATCTGTTTTCTTATGTTGATAATTTTAAAAGATTTCGCTATGTCCACCTGATGGCCCATACTGATGAAATGTCTGGTAGTGGTACTAGTGTAAGGATTTATTGTCTTCGAACGTTGGCGTTTTGGTATGTATTCGGATAAATCGGTGTGACCCCCTTTCTGCTCTCCCAGTATGACTACTTCAAATACATGTAAATTAGCATACACAGTCGGAGTTAACATGAGAAGGGTATCTGTTCAGCTTTGACTGCACCAAAGAGCATGTTGTCCGATAAACGAGAACCAACCTAGCTGCAGGATTGTCTCTGGCTGGTAAGGTATTTAATCTTCTGTCCACTATTCCTGCAGTATTATCACTTCTAAAATCTAGTTGAATAAAGATTGGCTTTCTCCCACTGTGATTTGCTCGGTATTAGGACAGTTTTGTCCTCCGTACTTGTTAGTGAATTTCTTAAGTTAACCATTGGTCTTCTACATCTTTCGAGAATCATAAATTCTTCCCCTAATTTGTCTGTAGAGCATATTCTCCTAGCTCTATAGTAAAGGGTGTTGACTAGAGCTCGTTTAAAACTATTTGGTAAAAAATTATTAAACTGTAGGTATTATGCTTTCCATGCAGGCTGCCGGTAAATTGAACTCTGGAGACTACCATCTTCTAGGCGTTACATGGCAACGTCAAAGAAATGAAACTTTACATCATATTTTCGTACGTCGTTCAGTAATCCAAGTAGGTGGGAAAAAACTTTCATTGTTGCACACTACAATACCGAAAATATGAAGTTCTTTCGTCGATCGTAGGCTTCAACTTAGTCCTCTCAAGGTTAGACATGAAGATGTTTGCTAAAATGCTTTCGACTACTGGTGGAAAATGTGTATTTTTATCCTGGACAGATTATTGTTGTGCTCAGATTTTAAATCTGTATGTTTCTGCGACAAAGTCAACAAGTGGACCAACAATCAGACTTCCTGTAAAGCTGAATGATGTTGGCGAATTGATGGGAACTTATCTTTTATGTGTGCAACGCAACCACGAAGCAACCTGTTAGGATATTATTCTACACCGTGTCTGCAATCAGTTCACAGGAGGCCCTAAATAAATATTTTGTATGTGTGCCTTTGATAATCATTGTTCAATGACAGAATCCCGTATTTGTGAGAAACGACCATGCAGTGAAAAGCAGTTTAGCGAAAGTATCGCATCCAATGAAGTGTATTGAATTTCTTTATGATTGTGAACAAACACAGCAGAAGTGTGTCATACTGCTTCGTTGACATTTCACCTATCTGACTGGTCCAACTTTTAATAGGGGTTAATATGTCAGGTGATGGGTTTCTGAGATTTATTTTGCATTAAGAAAGTTTCACATCTTCTAATTCACTAACAGGAATGTTTTCACAGAGTGATGGTTTTCAGTAGGGAAAATCACACTACTCCAATACCGCCGTCTGATCATTCGTGTTAACTGGTATAATATATTGAGCAATACTGAAGTAAGACATAGAACATTAAGTAAAGAGAGTAAGTCAGTCGATAAAGTTGTGAATCTACATCGAGTGAAATGACTGTGACACGTGTTCCACATGCCAGGGAACTGCCTTCCTGCATGAGCAATAGCAGCTGACAAAGGATTAGGTTGACAAAGTGTTAGAGTTAGTCAAACAAGAACCTGGCATCAATCCATGAAGAATTTGACAGTTGATGATATTAGATGGTTGGAGGCAATAGGCAGGAAGCCTTCGACCTAGTTTTCGTGCTAGTTGGCACACACCAGTCACCAAGCCGTATCTGCAACCTTGAAGGAACTCATGTCCCTTCTGAGATTCGAACCCGCATCACCCAGTGCTTCAGTCGGAGACGTTACCACTGAACTATTCGGGCTGGCGATTGACCTAGAATGGTGGCCACATTGCAGACCTAACTGATAGAATTCAGTCTGCTTCAAAGAAAGGACTAGACACATCACGCTGATTACTAGTGTCCAAAGAAAATATTTGAAAGTTGGTTTGAGCTAGTCATCTAGCCAGGTGTAGACTACTTGGTTGGAGTCCTCAGGAGACTGAGAACCAACAACTTGAGACTATTGGTGATATATGGCTAAAAATCGTTCTCATTGTAATCTCCCAGATCCCGTAGACCCTCATATTTTTTCATGTTAATACTCTTTCTCATGCACATTTCTGCTCATTATAGATCTTCTAAATTCCTTATTCTTCCCTCCTCTACCTTTATGTGGTACATGAAATGTGGCAACTTGAAGTGCTGCACTTCTGTGGAACGTTCTATGTTGAAAGCAAGTCGGTTGGTCTCACAGAGTAGTATTTTAACGGAGTCACTTTGAAGAGTGCACACCACATTACTCCCATATGACACACACATTCACTTAGATCTTGAGAGAGAATGACAGTCGTCACACTCCTAGCATAAAAGATTAGTTATATTCAAATATAGTAGTCAAAAAAGTGTTACTGGTCAGACTAGCTGAGATCGTCTATGCGTTAAAACATACACTGCTACAGATATAGTGGGCGACTGACTGTGTCTCGATTACTGGCTTAAAAACTCACTTAACCACATTTCCGCATAACAACTGGGCAAAATTATTAATGAATGCCACTGACTGACTAATCATTCGTTGGCCAGTTATCGATCGTAAATCGTCTGGACAGCTGTCGACAATCTGTTTGGTTCGAATCCAACTTGTCAACTTCCCTTGTCAATCAGTACCGTACAAAATGGAACAAATGGCCTCTGTGGTTAGATATATAATCTTACAGATGATACCAAAAAATATACCAGCTGAAAGAAAGGGAGGATAGTTTCAGTTCTCCATGTGACTTCTGAGCTATATATCATTATTACACCTTAATATTGTAAAAGTTGGACACAGAATATATATTAACTTACAATACAACAACATTGATCATATTACCTTACCAGTAAGTAATAACAACTAACTAACTAACTAATCTGCCTATATTATAAAAACCAGAATGAGGGAGGAATTCCAACAATGCTAACTAAGCTCTTATTTTTGATTGTTCCTTTGTGTTTCTTTGTTATTTTGTTTACTGTAAACTGATCTAATTGTTTTGTAAATATAGTTGACAAGACGTATTGTATGGGGAAATCTATTTATTATTGATAGACAAATCTACATCATATTCAGATTTTAATTCCATAAGAATTTGGTATATTTCAATAATAGTGAGTTTATGACATAGAGTTTTATGTCAACCAAAAGACTCAACAACAAAAGAAGATAAAACCAACATCATTATCTACAAAATATAAATTGTAACAACTGCGAAAAACACTATATTGGTCAAAGTGGACGCTAATCCTCTTCGTCTTCGTATCCATGAACATAAACTAGCCGTCAAAAGACATGATATCCACTCCCTCACTCATATCGTCTCACTGCATGCAGACAATTACGGAAATCAGTTCGACTGGGACAACCAACGTTCAAATATTAGACAGAGGAAACAACACCAAGAATGCTAGAGAATTTTTAGAAGCCTGCCTGGTATTCCAGTGAATCGTCAATCAATCGATAAGAAGGAAACCTCACACACAAAGGGTCAAAGTTCAATTCAAGGAAACAATCAGTACCAATACAAGTAGCCTGGAGGGTGTGAGAACATACAAAAACAACTAATCACGTTCGTGGTCACCAGGAAAGATGACTAATAAATTCGTGGAGAAATCTAAAAGCTCACTTCAACATATTGAAGTATGCGCTGGAGATGTTGCCTAGTAGAGAGGTAATGAAAGCTTCGCAAATAAACCATTCAGCTAGCTCAGAGAACACAACCGCATCAAAATCATCCACCTGAGCTACAAATCTTCTCTATCATATCTAAGTTTTAGTCCTGTGAGGATGAGCTGGCAATTCGCCTTGACTTTCAGTGCCCCTTTTAACTTATTTTGCTTTGTCCATGAGTAGAAATAAGTTTAAGGACTACTGGAAAGTTAGAAAGTGCTGAACTTTAGTCTCATCCTATTATGAGATGGTGTACAAATTCTCCTTGTAACTAGAAGGGCCTAAACTTTAATCCTGGTGTGTGTACTTCTGAAGAGCACTAAACTAGAACGAAACGGCTATTCATTACTCCCTGCAGCTTTTCTAATGTTTCTATAAATGGTGTCAGCTTGCGATCAAACCCCTGCCAGCCAATACCTGGTTATACAGATTTGTGATTAATCTACTTTGAGAGTTTAATTATCACTCTCCTCTTAATTCATCTGATAATTATTATGAAGAGTATTAGTAGAATCATGGTCGTGCACCTAGTTCATTATCTGCCTCACTGTGGAGATATAAAAGTGAGCTATGTCAGTATTCATTTATGTATACAGATAAAGCGTTTATTTTATATTCTACTTATTCGCTACTACAACTGTATTCCGACTGGTATACACCTTTTGAAGTGTATCTCTTTTGGGTTACTCTAAACTATAGCGACCCAAAGAGAAACTACCTAATAAAGACCTTGACAAATCTCTATCCACCAATCAGATACGTCGGAAGTAAAAGTGCGTGATTTGAAAAAAAAACAGCGTTTATATAAAATAGTTACATAGGATAACGTTCTAATATACATGCTCCAAGGAAACCTACCAGTTCCTCATAGGTATCCTCAGAGTTAGATTAAACCAATTTCTGCGCATAAATTCGTCAAGATATCTGTAAGTAATCGTGTTTCTTGACCTAATGACTTCTCTGGTCCTCTTTTGTTGTGAGTCCCATCGAAAGGATTAACGGAATCGTCTGTATGATTGACCACGTTGTGAATATAGCCCAGGTCTGTGTGAATGATTGTGCCTGGTAGAACTAAACGTTGGATAATAGATACTTAAATACTACATCTGGGTGTAATTTGCTAAGTGATTCGTGTCCAGTATCCATAACTGAGCTAATATACCACGGGCGTATCTGAGTAGTTACTCAACGTCTTTAATCCGTTAGAATCACCCTCTATTCATCAGCTACACTATGATTTGTCTATTTCTTAAAATATAGAGAAAATATTCATCAGACATCTACAAAAAACAAAATAAGTGAGCAAAGAATATCCAATTCGATATATATACATATATATAGAATATTCTAGATTAGTAGTCAATAACAGTATTAGTCTTTTTCAAATAATACTGATTTGTAAAATTAAGGAAATTTCTGCAAAAACTGAGGATCATTCGAACCCAGATGGCCAAGATAAGAACAATGTCTGGACTGACTTCTTTTGGACACATAAATTAGGCTTCTTAATGTGGATCCCAACAGCCAGTCCCGGCAATATTTAGTAAACGAACTCTTAAGGCGAATTTAAGATTTGCTGGTATGCGCTAAATGACTTTGAAAGCCTCATTGACATCAATCTTGTGTACTGCATCCACAAGATGAGATAGAATAGCGCTACAAATAGATTTTGTTTGTCCTTTACTTAATCACCCTGGGTGATGGTTGGAAATCCGACGAGAAACACGCCTAATTGTACGGCCTACTTAACTGGCTCCACAGGAGTAGTTAAATTGGTAGATACGCTTAGAAGAGGTGAAATTAGGCCTTTATCTTTTACTTCCGAACGTAAAAGAGGAGTGGGTGGTTTTGAAGACATAGCGTAATTCAGCAGCAGGGAATGCTCTTTTTACCGCATTTCCAAGGCGGTGTTGTTCTCGAGGAATTTGTAAGAATTATGCCTTTTTAGGAAAATTATCGTAAAGGACATTCTTTGCTCAATTATTTTGTTTTTTATTTCTTAAAAGTCAAAAACATGCAATTCCTTTCTGAATATAAGAGATGATCTTTCTTTCTTAAGCAGTTCTCTGTGTCTACTGTCTATCCTCCCATCTTCATATATGTACCTGTTTCTGCATGAGATGGGGAATATTTGTACATGAAACATGTGTTGTAATGAGCATCCAAAAAAATAATCATTGTTACCAAGGGAATTAACAGGTGTTTACATTGTAACTGTGTACTGAGGTGGAAAAACTTTCAGTACATTACCTTTATTCAGAAAAGAATAAACACAGAATTAAAACTGTTTTTGTAAAACTATGTTTTTGAGAGTAAAACAAGAGGAAGAACTGACAGTATGAAGCTATCAGACAAAATCTAATGTCTCCATTCCTCTTCCAGCATTAAGCATAAAGTTGACCAAAAGTCATTGTGTAAAAACAATCATTCTAAAACAAAATAATTGTGAATTAATGACTCCTTTTCAAACTTTACGGTATCCGTTAGACTGCTCATTTCAGCTTCATGGTATAGATAAGATATACATGTAGACTACTCAAATATATTGCAGCAAATGTGCTCACTTATAATCATGTTTTTTTGAATGACTTAGCAACATGTCTCATCCAATCAGTCCTCGTCTTAGCTTATCTGCTTTATTTGATCTATACTATCATTTCCAAGGGTTGATTTGTAAGGATTTGATGTGTTTTTCGAGTTTGATCACGGATTGATGTCAGTTAGAGAACCACTAAAAACCAGGCAGTACGCACCCACTGGGGTTCGAAGCCAAGGCCTTCTGGTTACATGGCTCATATACCATTCAGCCATTGGGACCAGATTCAGTTGCCAACCCATGAATTCTAACTTCTAACAATTCATGATTTAATGCAACCACCAACCAGTGTTATCAGTGGGAATTCCATCCTCACTCCCGACCGGATGAATCTCATTGATCACGACTTCTCACTAGAACTCCAGGGTTCGGACCCTAGTGGGTGCATACTGCCGATGACACAGCTGTCCAGTACTCTCACCTGGTTTTCAATAGTTCTCTAATTGATATCAATCAGTGGGTAAACTCGAAAAACAAATATGCTATCATTATTATTACTGAGTTACGAGTGGAACATAGGGTTTTAGCAGTACATCCCCATTTCATCCTGTCTTCTGCGGTCCTTTTTAGCTGGCTCCATGGTTGCCCATAGGCTCTCATCTATCCCTTACACGAACTACTCCATGTCACCCTCAGACTTATACCCAACTCGTCATCCCCCATTTGAGTTCCATTCGATGGCCTGGTACGTGATGCCGACTAATGGTTTCCTTAGATTGTATCAAATCCATTTCTATTTTCTCCTGCATATTTGTTGAGCATTAGGTTGTTTGGTTGGTTGAAAAGGTTCCTCTCTGCTTATTCTTTCACACAGACCATCTGATCTTCAGTATCGAGGTAACAAAGGCAACTATTGATAACTGTTTGAAGTATGTCAAAAATGCTTTTGGTGATGTGCCAATTCGTTGAATCATACATAAGCACTGACTCACTTGACATTACTGCTGAAAATCTGAATCATGTTCTTTTAATGCTTAGTTCTGAACATTTCTACACTGATTTCAAGATAATAAAAGATCAATGATGCCTTTCTGACCATCGATTATTCATCCTCATTGGTGACACCACTTGTGGCCGAAACGATGGTACATATATCCTTTGGAGAAGTTACTTCTTTCAAATTTCTCCTATTCCTAGTGATCAGTGCTTGTTGTTATTGGTTATGTAAAGGGAAGATAATCCACAGCTCTGATGAAAAAAATATGAATCATCCGACCAAGAAAGAAGAAGAGTTTTATTCCACTTAATAGTAGGGTAGTTAATTTTCTAGCAACCTCCTTTACCTACCTACCTGGGAAGCATCGTTACAAATACAGGCGGATGGAACTGATGAGGATATCAAAGCGAGGATCGGGTAAGTAAGGCAAGCAAGCTTTGGTTACTCTCAAGTCTGTGTGGAGGTCAACAGCAATCAGCATGAAAAATAAGGTCCGGATTTTCAACTCCAATGTGAAGTCAGTGCTACTTACCATACAGGATCAGAGACTTGGCGCCGTGCCGTATCACGAAGGGCGCTTCGAACAAACTATAGACCTTCATCAACAGCTGTCTTCGCTCAATACTAATCAAGATCAGATGGCTGGCGAGAAAAGATCAGCAACAGAGATCTCTGGGAGCGAGCCAACCAGGGACCGATTGTGCAGTTAATATGCAGGAAGAAATTGAGGTGGATTGGCCATACTCTGAGAAAGCAAACCGACAAGTGACATCACACGCCAGACCATCGCTCGAGTGGAACCCTAACGGTAAGGCGACGAGTTGGTCGTCAGTGTGAGGGTGACATGGAGGAGGTGATGTGAAGAGGAGATGAAAGCAAGTGGGCGGATGTGGAGTCAGGTGAAAACGTTGGCAGAGAGCCGAACGCATTGGAGACGTGTGGCTGAAGCCCTATGTTCCTCTAGGAACTAAAGGAAACATTAATAATATTATAATAATTTTCTAGCAGGACACTCAGAGATAAACTTTCTTGGCTTAAGAATTCAAAGGCGTCATATAAATAAGACAAAATGATTTATCAAATACCAGTATAATAACTATAAGGTTAATTATGTAGGTCGGACTATTCTGTTGGAGTCAATTAAGTTGTTCGAACATAAGAATTTAGGTAAATCTACAATGATTAACTCCTCCAGATTAAACTATCTGAAGAAAAGCTTAGCTGTTGTAGTGAGTGCACTTGCACAATCGGGTGAGATGGGGTAAAAGTATGATAATAATAATAATACTAGGTACACAGAGAAAGGTTAGTCATCGAAGTCTTTTTCATCCAGCCAACGCCAGATACATTCAATAGGGATGAAGCAATACCTGTCTGGGATACATGAGAAACTACTAGACAGATGTGCCTGGAAAATTGTCACTGATTCCACGACACGTTGTTTCAAGCTCCGCAGAGTAACACAAATGCAGATAAAATATATGACTGAAGACAATATCGATGCCTGTGTACATGAAGTTAATTTGCCATCAGAGACAACAGAGATAATAAATATTATTAACGAACTAGTGAAGGTGAAGAAAATAATCATTATCGATACAGGTGAACAAGAGGGTAAGTAAGTCTCCCGAGACAACCAATCAAATTCAAAGGCATCAAGAGAGACGGCTACCACACTTATGAACAATTCTCAACGTTGACTCTACATTGAAGCTAGCATTGAAGATATTGCTTAGAAGGATAATGAAAGCTCCTTAATTAAACCACCCGTCAATATCATCTCCCTGAGATACAAGTCTTCTCAATCATTTCTAAACTGGTACAGGCTGGACCACACACTTTGACCAGCTAAGTGAAAAACCTGTTGTATTTTGAAAAAAGACCACTGGTTTGATGTGTCAATGAAAACAACCACATCTCATTAAAGTAGAGTTATATATGTACTTATGACTGTAGTCTACACTTGTGATAAATATTGATTACAAATCTTATAATTCTTGTTTGTTTGACAGATCTCAGCTCACCCCTAACTGGAGATGGTTCACGTGGTCGAACATACACTGTATCTATTGAAGAAAAGCATTCATCTCAACCAAATTTAGCTACAAACGGACATGATTCAACAAACGGTACACAAGTAACAAGAACTCTGAGAAATATATTGACTGGTGAAAATTGTGATACTTATAGTGTATGCCAAGAGATGCGTAGTGAAAAGTTGGATGGAACTGCGGGTCTTCAAGGAGGATTACATAGAAAACGTAAGACTGTTTTCTAAATTAATTATCATGGTGAATACTGTTCTAAGACTTTATGTCATTTGATATACACATTGCTTGCACTTATCGAAAATTTGAGAATCCCACTGTTTTCTAAGCCATTTCATATCTATCCATCATTATCTACAGGTTATGATTACTTCTCTATCACACAGTGAAATGCGACGCACTCATTTATGTGAAACTAACTAGATAGATAGTGACTATCACTGGAATCCAGGAGGAGAATTTCATCATTAGCTGAATGTATCTTCTAATTAATGAGTGATGGTATCCCCCTACTGTGGCACGACATGAACATAAATATATTCTGGGCTTAAATATATTTGTTACTTGAAAGGTAATTGGCTAACATGTGCGGAAGCTTTTCAATATTTGCTTCCAAGAAGTACTGTCCAAAGCCATTCACTACTCCAAGAAATGTGGTAAAATGATACACCGGTTGTCCACTGCGAGGTAACCGATATAATGTCTAGGAGCTCAGCGAATTCTATCAATCGGTGTGATTGCCAAGCTAAGTAACTTGACATCACGGTGCACTTTGAAGAATAGATGTTGAATGGTTGACAGTCGCCACGAAGTCTCGGCACTCATTGTCTGGGCGTATATGCAACCTCGAAGAAACTGTGGTATCCCCTGGGAGATTCGAACCTGCAGCAGTTGTAGAAACTCCTTGATGACAAGTGCCAGGAAGCACGTTTTCAGACAAGGGAAGAATTCACAAATTTATTCAAAGAAAGAGAGGTATAGTCAACATTTTGATAAATATACATGGCATTCTCTAATTTTATCCGCATTATTATTTTTGTTTTAGTCGAAAAGCGAATTCCCCATAAATTGCGTGTGCGCGTGATATAAAATGATTAGGAAAAACTTGAATTATGACGCCATCACTGAAAAGTTGATGAACACTACCGCGCCACAATTTAAACATTGATGATTAATGTTTAGGATGAAATTGGAATATTAAAAAGAAAGATGTGCCTGTTTTCTGTTCACATCAGCGGACAGTAAACAAAAGGAAACTGTATTGATTACAAATATATTGATGTAATGGGCTACATGAATCTCTGAGTCAACAATAATATGAATGAATTCCTCAGTGATGTGTGCATTTTAAGGTGTGTGAGTGATTACTGTACGTCTGTTTCATAAAAGTACAATGAACCTGTTCTCTATTCAGTAATCAGATGAGGTTGATTGCCTCTTGCTGAAAGCCTTCATTGCTGATATATTGTCAGTAATATTCTGTCTTGGACAAGCAGTTTTGTTCTCTGTTGTTCGACGTAATATCGAATCATGAGTTGCACTTCATTGAGGAGAATTCAAAAGGGATGAAAAAGGTGGCTCTTGAAATTCTAATTTTTGTGAACCCATGATATGATGTCAACACAAGCTCATGCCATTGGCAAGTATCTATCCGGACAACACTCGACTTGTTAGACACGTATTAGTGATGATATTCAGAACTCCAGGAAATTCAGTCCACATTCAGTCATCAATGCGGAGTGAATTCGTCTTCAAGTGTAAGGTTTATAGAGATCTGATAGACTTTGAAAGTGAGTTTCGTTAAGAATCGACGTCAATTAAAGGACCATTGAAAATTGCAGAATGTTGGACAGTTGTCTCGTGCTTTTATCGAACGTTTCAGCAGAATCCACACACGCCTTCATCAGGAATCAGAGATGAGACCTTCAGGTTGTCAGGAAAACCTGTAGATCATTCAACCACTGGGTCGAAATCTAATGGTTCACGGACTTTAGCCTCTCTCAATTCGTTATACTGTGCCACTGTCAGCCACTGTTTTCTTTTTCAGCTAATGATAGTATCAACATTTTCTTCAAGAAACTCTCTCGACCTCCTTATCAAATGTATAACTGAAGACTCTAACGCTTGTAATCCTTGATTGTTAAGTAGAAACTCGTCTTGTTCAAAATTTATTTTTTTGAGCACGCCACAGTTCCACAAAATAATAATATAGGTAAATGGAGGAAGAGGTGGATCACTGGATATTTATTCATCGAATCAATACTTGATACGTGCTGTAGTAATGATGGAATACGGATACCACATTATTATTATTGCTGCTGTATACGTAACTGACGTGTTGTGATCTGAACGCAGGAAATCGATCTTTGCGTTCTACTGTATAGCTGACCACAACTGCCTTGAGTTAAACACAGTCACAAAACGGCCCAACAACCGTAAAAAGACAGTTATTTGTAACAAAATCTAATGTACTATTCAACAACCATGATGTAGCAAAATGCGAAACACTCTCAACAATGCCGTCAGGCAGCTATACAGATCCATTAGTTTCTCGAATATAAAATAAGCATTACACAACAAAATTATTTAGCCAAAATCAACCGTATGAAGTATCTGAGAATCAATAACAATATTTCAGTCAAAGGGTGGGATCAAAAACTCTGTCAGCAAGAATCACACACAAAAATAATTCCTGCAGACAACACAAAGTCAGAATCACCTTGATTCACTCAACAACAAAAATCGATATTGTAAAACAACACAATATCAATCCCATCATCACTCAACCACAAAGAGAAAGAATAAAATTAGAGTTTAAACAAGAACAAAGACAGATAATAAAAATTAATTCAACAAGTGATACACAAACGTCAGAACAGTGATGTACAGTCAAGGAGAAAAAAGGATCATAATAAACAAAGTTAGTTAGAATGTCTAAATAAGTAACAATGCCTTGAATAGATCGTTTGGGAGGGATTCTTTCGCAATACGGAATACCCGTAGTATATATATACTCACTTATTTGTTTGCAGGGATTCGATTGACTTAAAGATTCACCACTAACTGACTTCATTTTGAGTATCACTGAAAACAAGGGAGAATCAGAGAGCTGTTTCGTCTTTGTCTTGAGACGGAATCCACTGGCCCCCTAGTGCTCACTTAGGGTTGACTACAGGATGAAGTCACCTGAAGTACTAGTGAGAAGTTATCACCAGAGTGGTCCACGATGTCAGGTGTGAGTACAAGTACTCACCAATGACAGTGGATGGCGGTCACGCTGCATAACGCGAATTGGGAGATATTAGAATCCATGAGTGTGCGTCGGTGTCACAGCGGTAGAATGTTCGCCAATCGCGTATTTGGTCTGGGGTTCGATCCCCGGCCACCGACGCACTCCTTTACCTCACTAAGCCAGCAATAAGACTGGTAAAGAGGGAAGGTTGGGCATGAAGCTAGCAACTCCATCCCGTAAAAAGTAAATACGACTGCTACTGAAACTTCAGGCCTCTAGCCTGAAGCCCTGTGTTCCACTGAGAAGGTAAAGGAATAAAAAAATCCGTGAGCCGGCCGATGAATTCCAATCTAGTAATTCAGTGGTGTGCGAATTCGTCTTGTCACCTGAGGGTCCTAGCCTCAGTCTCTGATGGGGTCATTGGTGCGTACCGATGAACATTCTCTGATTCTCAATGGTTCTTCAACTGGGGTCAATTCATAATCTGTCCTGACTTGTATACATATACATATATATATATATCCTTCACGTTCCCCAGTGGAACATAGAACTTCAAGCTAGAGGCTTGAAGTTTCTGTAGCAGTGCAGGGGTTGCTAGCCTCATGCCCAACCTTTCCTCTTCACCAGCATTGTTTCTGGTTTAGCGAGGTAAAGGAGTGCGTCGGCCGTGGATCGAATCCCAGACCATGTGCATGGTCGGCGAGCGTCCTAACCGCTATGCCACCGACGCTACACATACAAAATCACCCATAAATGTTTCCGGAAGTACAGCTATGAAAATGAATTCGCCGAAAAGAGACTCTTCGCTGAACTACTGATCTTCTGTCTATTATCTACAACGCACTACTTGCACACAACTTCCGTGTTGTGCTACTTCTGGCTTTCAAATTGTGTTTCTTTCACGTCTCCCATGTTTCTCCACAGCGCTGAATCATCTGCTTTCTCTGACATCAAATCTATCTCCCCACTATTTGATATTTTATGCTGATGAACGTCTCCACTATAACCAGTTGATCACTTGAAAATCCACTCACATACACACACTGAGATAGACACAAAAGTTAAATTCAACCGTTACAACGTTTATGAGATACAATACATGGTATACCATATTTGTAAAATCTCAGGAATTTAAGCCATCGATAAACGAATCAAAAATTTTCCCACCAGTTTTTCATGTCTGTGCATGCATAAATCATGACTTCATGGCTAATAAATAAGCTTGCCTGTCTTAACAGAAAAATAAGTAATAGAGTAGTAATAAAATGTGGATGATGGGAACAATAATGATAATAAAAGTATTAATAAAATAAAATGATAATAGTAATCATAGTGAACTTACATAATAAAGGAAAGAAGCAAAATTGTGTTGAGAACTTTACTCTGGCCATGGTAAGGCAAGAGAATGTATGTATCGCTTTTGGATGCAGAGGTCCGGTTTCAGAACCCGAATAGCTAATGATTCAGCTATGTACAGATGGCGTATCCGAAGTCCCTTTGTACGATACACAGAGTCCCTCAATATCGTACAAAGGGACTTCGGATACGCCATCTGTACATAGCTGAATCATTAGCTATTCGGGTTCTGAAACCGGACCTCTGCATCCAAAAGCGATACATACATTCTCTTGCCTTACCATGGCCAGAGTAAAGTTCTCAACACAATTTTGCTTCTTTCCTTTATTATGTAAGTTCACTATGATTACTATTATCATTTTATTTTATTAATACTTTTATTATCATTATTGTTCCCATCATCCACATTTTATTACTACTCTATTACTGATTATTAGTAACATTGCTTTTAATACATATTTTATAGAAAAATAAGTGAATATATTTCAGGCATAATAATAAGTAAAATAAATATTTAACTATGTATTCAAAAGTATCCTTATCGGTTTTGATATCAAGAATGATTCATTTTCATAATCAGTCATACTTTTACTGTTATTGCTCCTTTGGGATACTAGCAGTACATTTCCATTTTATTCTGTTCCCGAAGTCTTTTTTAACTTGTTGCATGATTGCCCATTTGTTTTCATTTTCTCCTTACATGTACTTCTTCACTTTACTTGTCTTTCTCCGTTCTCTTTCAAGTCTATGGTCTGGCGTGAAATGTTACTCATCGGTCTCTGAAATTGTGTTATGTCAATCACCATCAATTCATTATATTATTGTATAACAATTTTAAACACTGTAAGCAGATACTATTTCTCTCAACAACAGAGGAAATTAAAGGTGACCGGTTGAAATGTTACACTAATCCTTAAGTGTTCTTGAAGTCAATCTTATCTATGTACAGATGAGTAGACTTCTTGGATAGGATCTTTGAACAACATGGGAACATAAGGAAACAGCTCTACATTAATTTCGAATTTGCAAACATTTTTACTTCATCAATTGTCGGAGTATTTTGCTTTGATTTATTTTCCTCATCATTGTATAATCACATCTCATTTCATTTTATGCACTGTTCTAGAATGGATATATATGAACGTAAACTGTATCACATATGTGCAGTGTGGGTGTATTGATTTTTTTCAACTGCTTACCAAGAACCACTGGTAAAGTGTCAGAAGCATAACCAGTTAGTTGATAAGAAAACTGGCACTAATGAATTAGCGATCTTGATTCATTAAACCTTTTTTTTCGATTTTATTCTTTACATAACACTAATTCGGTGGTGAGATAAATTGATACCTATTTTTAAAAAAAGACTGACTGATGAACAAAGAATATTCTTTTCGACAGCTTACTCTTTATCAGGTTCAACAGTTATATACATCCATAATAATTACAGGATTGTTGTTAATAACAATATTAATGTTTTAAGTCGCACTGAAATAAAAATACTAATAGATTACGGATCTAAAACATCTGTGAGTAACAACATGCATAAAAATGTAGTATTAAATTGAATGTCAGATAAATTACGAGAAATAATAGAGAATCAATGAATTTATATGCTCCACAACAGGTTACAGTGGCAATAGTGGCTGAACTTGTTTCTCATACACAGAGGGCTGCGGTTGTTTTAAGCGTATTGCGATGGTCTTTGCTATTTGAAGTGTTTAGTTTTGCGTGGCTTTTGGAAGTTTATTTGATACTCAATAGGAGATTGAAAAAGAATCTTCAACACTTGCTTTTTGGTCTGTTTGAACTAGGTGATGTAATGTAGAACTCCCGATGGTTTTAACTACACCTTTATTTGTTCATCCTAATAGGTGCTTCCAGGCACGAAAAATTAGGCTCTCAGAGTAACAGCCAAAATAACTGGCTCAAAAGGATAAATACTGATAGATATAATGAGAGGTAGTTAGCCTACGTACTTCATCTCACAGTTTCAGAGTCACAACCAGTGATGTGAAAAATGGGAGTCATGGCTTACCAGCATTAAATTTCCTTCGAATCGATCTTCTCAACTTGTTGGTTATTATTTCATTCGGTAGATCACCTTTGAATTGCAGTCGTATGTAAGGAGGCTTCCTGTTAGTAGGATTCTTTTTCATTCTCTTGGCCAAATGTTTCTTGATGAATTTCTCAGGGTAGCTATTTCCCAGTGACGATTCATACACGACATCATCTTCAACTACTTCTTCTGAACAAATAGCTCAAACTCTTTAGCCGAGAATCTTTACTAGATTTCTTTTTTACTAGATAGGAACAATGTTTTCTTATGCAAATTCATTTTTATGCTACACTCTGGTCTTCTTTTAGAATGTTTTTGATATATATATATGCGTATAATATTTAATATTTGTCACTTTTCACTAGTTCCTAACTGTTTTCTATTCTTGCCATTCCCCTCTTTTTTGCATTTTAGCTGCTTACAATATCATAACAGGAATTTAAATTAAGCGCACAAAAACAAACAAACAATGGAACTACTCGACGCACTCATTGGGATGACAAAGCGGTGTGTTTTCCTTTTTCTCTTCTTCAAAAAAATATTCCCATCTCTTGAAACAAAAAAATATCCAATGTAAAGAACAACTAATCAAAAAAAAAAATAATAATAACTAGAGATGACATAACATACACATAGATACACATAGTTCCAGTTAACACTGTAGTAAGGCACCGCCTATTGGTTTATTTCTCCGACCAGTGTTCGAGTACACCTAGGTATGCCAGTGTGCCTGTTTGTGTTTGTGTGTTTGCTGTGAGTATGTGCTTTTATACATTTTATTCATTTGTTTCATACAATTCTTACAAATACACAGCTACCAATCCCTGCCCCCTACACATATACAAAAAAAAAACACATTTTCACTTGCCTATTTATTATTTGTTTACCCAGTCAGTCATAGACATTAACACTTAATTAATTACCTACTGTCACCAGTTGTTCACTGCCTTCATGTTTGTTGCCTTGGCTATTTATTTGTCTAGCCAAATCTGCGTGAACCCAAATCAGCATGACTGGCTGAAGAAAGGTTTGGTCATTTATGTATCCTTCACATAACACATTTTTTTTTCTTTTGCTTGATCCCACCACTAATGCCATTGTTTAAATGCATTCAATACAATCGATGCTATTGTGCTTGTTTTTGTTATGAGTATTTGTTGAGTTTTTCACTCGTGATTTGCAACGGCAGTGTTTCTATTCTCCTAGTTATGATTTTGATATGCTGATAGTGCGGTACAAATAAGCTGGTTCATTGTTTGACATGCATCATGGAAAAAAAAAAATTAAGATATTTCTGTACACTTGCTTTATTCTGGGTGAGGCTTTTGTGAGAAATAAAATGTAAGTATTCAAGGGGGAAAGCATGTGCGTCGGTGGCAGAGGGGTTAGGACGCTCGTCGACCATGCATATGGTCCGGGGTTTGATCCCCAGCCGGCACACTCCTTTACCTCGCTAAGTCAGAAATAAAGCTGGTAAAGAGGAAAGGTTGAGCATGAGGCTGGCTAGCAACCCCATCCTGTAAAAATAAACACTGCTACAGAAACTTCAAGCCTCTAGCTTGAAGCCCTATGATCCACTGGGAACGTGAAGGAATAAAATAAGGGGGAAGCATAGTTACTCATATTTAGGATTTCCCACTGATTTGTATGGACCGAATTTATCAACCTCATTAGGCTAGAAAACCAGTGGAATATCAGCTGGTGGGGGGGGGGCAAACTTGAAATAAGTCAAATCCGTACATACCAACTCTTGAAAATTAGTCTGATGCTCGCTAGTGACAGGATGGAATTACCTGGAGTTCTAGTAGGAAGTCGTGACGATTGAGGTCCATCGTGTCTGGGATTAAGATAAATACTCGCCAACGACATCAGCTGGTAGTTGCGCTAAAAAGGTCTCCAACTGGTTGAAGTTTGACATCATGGATCATTGGATCGGGTCCCAGTGGTTTAGTGGTCTACGAGCTTGTCTCTTAATCATAAAGCCCTGGTTTCGAATCCCAGTGGATGTGTACGGTTGATGAATTCTAAACTAAAACGGAACAGCTATCCAGTACTCCTTGGTTTTCCAATGGTTCTTTACCCGATGTCAGCTGGAGGTCGAACTTGCAACAAATCAAATCCCCACAAACTGACTCTTGAAAATCTTGTTTCACTATGTACTGGCTTCATTGAGTCATGAAGAAAATAAGAGATGACTCGGCGCAGAAAGTTCTCTGTGTCGACGAAATCAACTTCGCAGGCTGTACAACAGTATTTATGCTCACCAAAAACGTAAAGTAGTTCATTATTGAATACTAGGAGGGTGACATAATTGATATACTTACTTTGAGATAGCTTCAAAAGTAAAACTAAAATCAAAAAATTACGTAATACTCAAGATTACAAAGTTAGAAAGGGTTAGAAACGTGTTAATGTTACAATTGTTATTCAGTGAGAAGAAAGGTAGTTGAGTGTCCATTCAACATGTGTGAAGAGGGTGAGAAAATGTACAAAAGGAACATTAAAAGTAAAAATAAAATATTACAGGGAATGAATGATTAATGAAGAAGTTAAGACCATGGTAGAATAAGAGTCTGGGAAAACGTTTTGTGTATACAGAGTTTGGGATTGTATTGATGAATCGCCCAGCCCTCTGCTATACACAATTGGCGAAACCTAACATCCTCTGCACCATTCAGTTTCCCCTTGTAGATAATCTTCAGAGACGACTCCAGTGGAGCTGTGTGGCGTGAGTTCACCAAGTGCTTGAGAATTGAGCTAGTAATTTATTCTTCACTGATAAGACTTCATACAAGTTTTTCCATTTAGAAAATTCAAACAAAACAAGAACAGGGAGCGTAGTTGGATAACATAAGCTCATCTTTCTTTTTGTTATTTCGTGCACTGCTTTCAATTTCTTGCAACCTGAATGCGTAGAACTATATTTATTTTATTCCTTTACGTTCTAAGTGGAAAATAGAGCTTCAAGCTACAGTTCTGAAGTTTCGGTAGCAGTGGTTTTTATTCTTACGGGATGGGGTTGCTAGTCTCAAGCCCAACCTTCCTTCTTTACCCGTCATTACTGGCTTAGCGAGGTAAAGGAGTGCGTCAGCTGAGGATCGATCTCCGGACCATGTGTGGGGTTGTCGAGCGCCTTACCGCCAAATAACCGACGCACTATAGAACCATATAATATTGTTTGATCGACAAGAGTAGTTGTATTCCACCCATATCAACCTGTAGTGCTTGCTAGCCAGATCTAGGCGATCTAAACACCAGACAGCCATTTCGCTAATTTGGAGCCAACCTCATCCGTTGTGTGGTGATGTTTCACCTCTTCGAACTGTATAAACTTCAGATTGCGAATTAATTTGCAGACTGTCAATTTGCTAACAACCTAGACAATACCAAGATGTATACATTACCATAAAGGTGTTGGATTTGAACACATTTTTGATATTAGATGGTTGGAGACAATCCTCAGGAAGCCTTGGATCTAGGTTTCGTGCTAGTTGGCACTCGTTAGCAGGGCGTACCTTCATTCTTGAAAGAACTCATGTCCCTCCTCGTATTCAAACTCACGCCACCCAGTGCTCCACTAAGAGACGTTAACACTGAGCTATTTGGGCTTGCGATTGACCTCCTGTGGGATTGTATTGGATACTTCGACTGGACAGTAGTTAGTAGCTAGTGTAATGTATTTAGTCCTCCGTTTGGTGCAGACCGAATTCTATCAGTCAGGTTTGCATTGAGGCCATCATGCTAGGTGGCTCTTCATTACAGTGCACTGTTTATATTTGGAGGCATTCGGTCACAGGAAATCTAGCTTGACCTAGGTTTTATGCTAGTTGATGCTCGTCAGCTAGGCGTATCTGCAATCTTGAAGGAACTCATATCCTTTCTGAGATTCGAACCCGAGTAGGAGGTACTGTTCAAAATTTTCGCATAGAAACGAAGTTCAACCTGAAAAATTATATCCATATAACACGTGGCGTAACTACAAAGAAAAAACAGTTTGTACAGTATGAAAAAAGTGCAAGGTGTGAGACGTCTGGATGGAAAACAGAAAAATAGTTCCAAATAGTACCACAACGACATAGACGAACACGTGTGTGACGTAACGAAAATTGTAGTCCATTTTATGACTTCGTTACTCCTGACACTAACTCTCCAAATAAAAGTTTTGAATGGCAACTGACTGGTCGAAAATAAGGATGAAATAGTTTTTCCCTAATTAAAAACAAACATTGTAAAATATTTATAAATGAGATTCGCCATACAAATATCTGATAAGTAATTTCAACTGGAATTAGACTTGCGGATGACTGCTATTTACCTGCAATAAAGGACACGATGTCGCCTTGCTTGTCGTCATAGGTCTTTTTGAACCTAAGTTTCGTACATTTTGGCATTCGTTAGCAAGGCTTAGCTTATAGCTTTATGAAGAACTGATGCAGCGTGAGATTATTATTCCATTGTGTTCCGATTGGAACATAGGATTTTAGCGGCACATCCACATTTCATCCTATTTCCTGCAGTCCTATTTAGCTATCTAAACGATGGCCTACACAAACACAAACACACGCTCCACTTCATGTTATCTTTGGACCTACACCCAACTCATCACTTCCTAATCTGGTTTCGCTTGAGGGCTTGGAGCACAACGTTATTCAACAACTTTCTTAGCGTATGTTCAATCCATCTCCATTTCCTTTTACACATCCTTTGGGTTATAGGCTGCTGGTTGGTGCGTTGTCGGATTTCTTGTTGTATCCTCTCAGATTGACCATTCGATCTTCAGTTTAGAGCAAAGACAGATGTTGGTAGAAGCCTACAGAAGCCTTCTGGAAATTCTTTAGAAGACACGTTCGTTGGGTCACTGAGCCATTTAAATGAACTCACCTAATTGATATTGGCGATAAAAGAACTGATGCATCACCTATAATCTTCTTTTTTATTCCTTTACGTTCCCCATTGGAACATAGGTCTTCAGGCTAGGGCTTTGAAGTTTCGCAGCAGTGATATTTACGTTTACGGGATGGGGTTGCTAGCTTTATGCTCAACCTTCTCTCTTTACCAGTCTTATTACTGCTTAGCGAGATAAAGGAGTGCGTCGGCTGGGAGTCGGACCCGGAGCAAATGCGTGATTAGCGAGCATTCTACCGCTGTGCTACTGACGCACTTATCTATAATCTGAACACCGTTTATTGGGTGGTGCAGTCGGACACATTACCACTGATGTACTGTCACCAGTTTCCTGTTGATTCACTTCAACCAGTAAACGTTTCTTTCAAGTGATTTGTGATAGTGAATCTCTTAATCCACTGACTTGACCAGTACCTCTATGTTTAAACAAATCAATCCAACTAAGGGAAAACTGCTCAAATGTATTATTCAACTGATCAGTTTTACTGAAACGATAATGAGAGCAAATAAGCTTTCAGAAGAGACTGGGTTAACGTATAAGGAAGTGGTATAGGTAGCTGGCTGTTGGTATATTTGAAACTCTCACTATTTGAACACCTAATGTTTGTGTAGGGCGATGATGGCTGAAACTGAAATACGTTTATTGGAATGAAAGAAACTAGACTGTAGTGTCTCTCTAGTCTACTTTCCAATATGAGGTTTAATATTATAACAGATTATCTCAGATAGTCTTGCCATCAAATAACACCTTACTCAAATATCTTTTAATTTAGTATCATCAGGACTTACAGAAGGACACCGTGTTAGGCAGGTATTGTGATGACAAACAACTTAGGATTCTTTCAAATAACACCCACAAATGACCTGGTATAGGCGAAGTTGACTGGACTTCCTTCCTCCTCTAGAAATGCTCTTTTGTCGCTACGAGTTCGTAGCCTCTGCTTAGTAAGTCCTATTCACTACTGCCCTCAAAAGTGTAAGGGTGATTGTGGAAGTCTGCTACTTACAACCGGATTGGTAGTCAACATGCTGATCTACCTAGAGGGGCTGGAAGATGCTGATTTCAAGCCAGTGGTGTACATAAACTCTCCATGATCCGGATGGATAGAATGGCATGTGAACCAGTTTTGGTTACCAAAAACCATAGGAACGCAACTCCTGACGCTGCTCCGCTACCTTGTGCATCAGACTTCAAACCACAGGCTTG